GCCGTCTCTGCCTTGGGCGCCGCCCATGCCCGCCACGTCACCGGCGTCCGCATCCATGCCATCGGGAGCGTACATGGCACCTGCGCCAGCACCGGTGCCGTGCGTACCGCACGTCCAGCCCCTCTCCTCGTGCGCACCCCCTGCCCCGCAGCCCGGCCACTATGCACCACATCCACAGCTCTTCCCCTCCCACGCATCCCCGGCCCCGCAATCCGCCAACGCATCCCACCCCATGTTGGCGCCGATCACGGAGGAGCAACAGGACGAGCTGGACCGCGAGGGCGAGATCTTCTCCCGCTCCACCAGCAGCCGCTCGCTGGCCTCCATGCGGACAGCTACCAGCCTGCAGGGCCACCACCCACCCCACAAACCGGGCGTCATGCGAACGTGGAGCCACCTCAATCCCCCCGACGTCCCGTATTTTCGTGCCCAACACTAAGGATAAGGGGAAGAGAGAGCAAGAGGGGCTGGGCGCACGCAAGATCTCCATCCATTGGTCTCATTGTGGTGTTCGTCATTGTCAGCAGCTGGGAATGGTCGTTTTCGCCTGGTGGCTATATTGCATTATTGGCTGGATGGGATTCTTTTCACTCGCTGCTTGTCTCACGACGCTTAAGCTAGGTCATACACAACACTCCCCCTTCCGCCCTGTTGTTTCCGTGCGCTCTTGGTTTGCATATGTCGCATCAGGCTCTTGCTGGTTGCTGTGTTCCTCGGCGAGTTTTCCGTGGTGGCCGCTTACTCGCAGCCTTGTATTGTGGCTGCCTATACCCCTCCTTTTTCCACCACAGGCCGCCATGCTGCTGTTTTTCGTATACTTCTTATTCACTCTCTTCTCTGCCGTGCTGTTCGTCATTATGCACGCGTGCCTGTACCTGCTCTACTGCCCGCGTCGTTTTTACCCCCTCTATTCCCTTCCGCCACACCCACCCACTCGCAGATGGCAGCGATGGCGCCCACCCAGTGACTCGCATCGAGTATGTACTATTTGCTGGCTCACTCACTGCTCCCGTCTCTGGTGGCTGCCTTTCTGGCAGCTTCACCAGACGGCCGTCCGCGTCCAGCTTGTGTCCATGCTAGTAGGTGAGGAGGCGTCACTTGTCTTACCCTTGCTGTGTGTGGGAGGAGTCTGGGTAGCTACGTTGTGGGTGGGTGCAGCGTTCCGTGTGCATGGTGCGTGCTGGGATGGGAAGGGCAGGCAGGCGAAGGGGACGGGGATGGGTGTGTTTCATGCGTACGTAGGATGGGAGAAGGGCACAAGTATGACTGACTCGTTGCATCTCCAGAGCATGGGGGCACCAGGCGGCATGCCTCGCGTCTCCTCCGATGAGGGGGGAGGCATGCAGCCTGGGTCGCTCTTCTCATGCGTGCTGGAGGCACGATCAGCTCACCGTACAGGTACAATTCATGGTTCATTGCATGTGGGCGGGGTGTATGATCCATGTATGTTGCGTGCGGTGTTGTGTTGTGGGCGGGGGATGGGCAAGTGGTGTGCCCGTGTATTTTTGGATGTGGGCGATTGGCTAGCAGCACGCGGGGGGCAAGGAAAAGGCAGGGGCAGGGGGCGGGCGAGAGGCAGACCCATCCATAGACAGGCGGTGCCCACTAGGGGCGGGCCAGCAGGCGCGCAACGCTCATCTGGCACGGGACGCGGCCGCCCCAGCCGTCGGCCCCGCCCATCCATGCATGGATGCGTTGCGTCGATCGCCATGATGCCGGCCAGCTCTTCGCCGCCGGCCTTCACGTTTTTGTGTTTGAATATCCAGGACTTAGCGGTGAAGTTTCGTGCATATGGTGATTTGTTGGATGATTTGTGTATGTGGGATGGTTGCAAACGCATTCGTTATGAGTTTCTCGCCTTTATTGAGACGAAGCAGGACGAGGACGACCCGCCTGTAGCTCTCAATGGCTATACTTGCTGGTCTTCGCCGCGTGCCCTGTTGTATAGTGGTTCGGAGAATAAACAAGTGAAGTCGGGCGGGGTTGCATGGTACACGAGTATGCGTGTCACTCACCTGCTCACACGTAGAGATGCGCCACTTCGTAATGTAGTCATACTGAGGGCAGACCAGCAGTTGTTCGGTCTGGATCGCCCAGTGTTCCTGCTTGCCTGCTACGTGCCTCCTTTCATGCGCCCCGATGACGACGGCCAGGGTGGTGAGTGGTGGAGTGCTTTTACCCTGTTATGTGAGCAATTGGCTGAGGATGGTTATGTGCTTTTGTGTGGTGATTTTAACGCCAAGACGGCGACTGACCCTGATACTTTGCCGCCGTCGGATTATGCAGATATTGGCATAGATTCGACAATACTGCACCCCCTTTTACTTAATCCACCGACGCGGGTCAGCGATTGCTCTCACCCACGTAACTCGATTGGCGTCTGGCTGCTCGCTCTGTGCAAGGCATCATGCCTTCTGCTCTTTAATGGTCGCCAGATAGGCTCCTGTCTTGCTACGAGTACGGCTCAGCCTACGTGTACTCAAGGGAGGAAGCATAGCGTCATTGACTATGTGGCTGCCTCGCAACAGATTTTCCTTCGTGCCAGTCATTTTTCTGTAGACGATCATGCATTTCATACACCGCACCGATGCCTGTCATGGGCTATCATGCCTGTTGTGGTGCCTCCATCTTTGACTAGCCTTCGTAGTCGGGTGCAGGGAGCCTCGTCAAGGCAGGGCAGGGTGCGGTATGTGTGGAGTGCGCAGGCTGTCGGTGCTATTCGTGCATCATTGGCAACAGCCCTACTCATCTTCATCTACGGTCTGCACATTGTGATGCATGTCAGCGAGGGGATGCTCTTCGAGCGGCATCCTGCGCGCAAGCGCTGCTTGACTCACTGACTCGTCTCTAACATCGGCACGGTCGTCTTATAGACTGTCAGGCAAGGGCCGCACGCACTCTCCTCAACCAGCTAGAAGGCAAAGGCCGCCATTTTGGCGTGTCTAAATGTCTTCGCTCCCCCGAGGTCAATCGTGCAATCTCGCGCGCGTCCCAGGCATACCGTGCTTATATTCATGCGCTACCATCTGGGTCAATACATGATGCCGCTCGCACACGAGTTGAATCGTTGCGTGCCCGCAACTATCGTGATCGTGTCTGTCGTACCCACAAGTCAGCTCGTGCAAGTGCGCTGCTGCGTAAAGTGACTTTTTCGCGTTGCCACTGCCCTCGCGACTTCTGGCGCTTGCTCTCTCCCCCTGGCACATCGTGTTTCTGGAGCCAGCAATCCAGCGGTACCAGAATGTCACCTTTATCCTCGGCCACATGGGCTTCGACTTCAACGATGAAGGCGATGACAGACTTCCAGAGGTCATCGAGATGGCGGAGAGATACCCCAATGTGCTGCTCGAGATTTCAGCATTTGGGAGCTGTAAGTTCGATCAATGCGGCAGCCATCTTGACTGGGTCTTCCAGAAGGTGAAGCAGAAGGGTGTGCTTGACCGCGTGGTATATGGAAGCGACATGTCTGGCCTGCCCCTCGTTTACGCCCTCTACAAACGGGGGGTCATCAAAAGTATGAAGCGCGTCAATTACACTGTGGCGGAGGCGGAGCAGGTCATGTCTAAGAATCTAATCAGGCATTTCAAAATGG